ATAGATTTGTTGTGATGATTAATGTCTATAACAGTACCTAGCATATAGTAAGCTGTAAAATATTTCTTAAAAATGCATATGAGAATGAAACACAGAACAGGTACTTATGCCCAGTATATATGAACTTTATCTCTAAAATGTGAACATGTGTCTTTTTGATAGTTTCCCTCACTAAAGCTTAAATGTTTCTATGGCACAATTTTTACAAACCAGTTCTATCAAGAATAAAGCAATAATAGAAGTTCATTTGGCTTTATATAATACTTAAACCTATTCCACTTACAATACAGTTAATCCACCAAGGGAATAGGCTTGTTCTAGTTATTCATTTAACCTTCTTTCCTGCTAAAGAGAAAGGGCCTCTGAGTGCTATATAATTAGTGGTGGTTAATAGAAGACAAGAATGTGACGAAATTTGGAAAGTTGAAAAACAATGTAAAAGCCTCAATTAAAACACATGGAAATTCAAATCAGTTCTGTTTTAGTATTTTCAAATATTTAGCAATTTTCTTCCAAAGTAAGATTATAATCCACAAAACTATTTAAACAATGGCAGTAGGAAAAATTTGTAAAATTGGAAAAAAAGCTACCGTTAAATCTAGATCTGAACTGCTTCCATGGCAGCCAAGTGCCCACAAGTAAAGGTTAGTCATTCATTTATAAATTAATAGTCTAAGCTGTGAGCCACTACTGGGAAGGGAAAAATGTGGGACATGCTGTTTAAATTACATGTCCTTCTCAAAACTATAAGGACAACATACAGGGCAGTGGCTGCCAGGGGCTGGGAGGAAGGGAAGGGTTAACTACAAAGCGGCAGAGGGGAAGTTAGGGAAGTGACAAAACTTGATTGTGGGGATAGTTAACAAAATATGTTTGTCAAAACTCAAAGAACTAAATACAAAGGGGTAAGTTTTGCCATATATAAATTGTACCTTTAAAAAAACAGAAAAAGTTATAGGGACAAATTAAATTGCCTATTAATGTAAAAAATTTGCATATCATTTAAAACAAATCATATGACAGATTTCCCTTCATGAGTTTGAGTGCTGAAAAGTAGTATAATCAACTACATTAAAACATTTTACAAACAGTAAGAAATAGGTAAAATACTTAATTTTAAGAAACATTAGCTTATCTTGAGGTAAAGGACCACATAAAAGTTAATCAATGCTTCAAGGTTTAGCTTTAAAAAAAAAAGAAAAAAGAAAAAAAGAAAAAAAAAGTTAATCAAATACCTATATGTGATCTCACTGCTTTCTCAGAACTCATGATTCTAGTTTAATTTTTATGAATACAGTAAAAGTACTAAAGAGTTGTAAGTAAAACTACGAAATAATTCATAACATGATTTTTATGTACTATAAAAACTATTAAAATAAACAGTGAACTGATGTTCTCTATTTCAATTATATGACTTGATGAGGGTTCTAAAACTCCATAAAGATACTTTGTTTTCCCTGGGAGTCTGTAAGCCTTGCTTAAGAAGTACTTCCTTCTTGCTCCCAGAAAATCCTACACTTCCCAACTGTGAATGACACATAATACGATGCATGTATTCAGCTAGGCTTGATGCTAAATAAATTGTAAATAATTTTTGCAGCCGGACACCTGTGGCTCATGACTGTAATCCCAGCACTTTGGAGGCTGAGGCAGGCGGATCACCTGAGGTCAGGAGTCTGACACCAGCCTGGCCAACATGGCAAAACCCCATCTCTACTAAAAATACAAAGTTAGCCGGGTGTGGTGGCTAAAGCCTGTAATCCCAGCTACTCGGGGGGCTAAGGCAGGAGAAACAATTGAACCCAGGAGGTGGAGGCTGTAGTGAACCAAGATCATGCAACTGCTCTCCAGCCTGGACAACAGAGCAAGACTGTCTCAAAAATAATAATTTTTGCAACCATCACCCTCAATGGAGAATCTGAGACAGAGAAGTGAGAAGGAAAGGGAGGCACCACGAGCTGAACCTGGGCACAAAGGCCGCCTGACAAAGCCTCTCTGAATTCAGAAAGGCTGAACAGGCTGCCCCAGAATACCAGTCAGCCTCATCCCTGAGGCAGCTACTACACAGCTCTTAGTCTGGACTTAACACTGGCAAGAGTTCAATGAGGGGTTTACAGAGGGGATGGGGATCCCTCTTTGCTCAATAGAAAAATAATTTAAGAGCCGAGAGGCTCTAGCAATCCCCTTTGTGATCCAGGATAACCTCAGACTCAGAAATCAGCCTGCCTTCTTGCTGACAAAAAGAGGCTTAAACCCACATGGAAAGCATGCCTGGGCTTCCTACTGCCTAACCCAGGACTCTAGTCTCCTCCTACCTCCTGATTCTGTGTCTCGGGAAGAAGTACCTCTGCCATCTGTGCTCCCATACCACAGCTCTCAAACCTTTAAATTTTGGTTTTAGAACCTCTTTACACACTAAAAAATTAGATGAGCCCAAAAAGCTTTTGTTTATATATATCAACATTCACTATAGTACAAATTAAAACCAATAAATATTTAAAATATGTATTAATTCATTTAAGCCCATTAAATGTTAATAACATCTTATAAAGGAAAAAACTACATTAAAAAAAGTGAGGCCAGGCGAGGTGGCTCATACCTGTAATCCCAACACTTTGGGAGGCTAAGGAGGGCAGATCACAAGGTCAGGAGTTTGAGACCAGCCTAGCCAACACGGTGAAACCCCATCTCTACTAAAAATACAAAAATCAGCCGGGCGTGGTAGCATGGGCCTGTAATCCCAGCTACTTGAGAGGCTGAGACAGGAGAACTGCTTGAACCTGGGAGGACGAGGTTGCAGTGCACCGAGACTACGCCACTGCACTCCACCCTGGGCAACAGACGGAGACTCCATCTCAGAAAATAAAAAGTGAGAAGGGTGAAATTGTTTTACATTTTACAAAACCCTTTAATGTCAAGCCCAATGAAAGACAGCCAGAGGCTGGGCAGGGTGCCTCACACCTGTAATCCCAATACTTTGGGAGGCCGAGGCATACGGATTGCTTGAGCTCAGGAGTTGGAGGCCAGCCTGGGCAACAAGGCAAACCCCATCTCTATAAAAAAACAAAAATTAAAATTAAAAAAATGGCCAGGCATGGTGGCGTGCACCTGTAGCTCCAGCTACTCAAGGGGCTGAAGTGGGAGGATGATTTGAACCCAGGAAGTTGTGGCTACAGTGAGCCATTATCATGCCATTGCACTTGAGCCTGAGTGACAGAGCAAGACCCTGCCTCCAAGAAAAAAAAAAAAAAAAAAGGCTGGATTTCATCTGCTTCTGCAGTCATTCTGACAAGTCTTCCTCACACCTCCAAAACAGCCTCCAAAAACTCCATGGTACGCTTTTAAGACAAACAAAGTATAAAGGCCATGGTGAAACCCCATCTCTACTAAAAATACAAAACCTAGCCTGGCATGGTGACAGGCACCTGTAGTCCCAGCTATTCCGGTGGCTAAGGCAGGAGAATCACTTGAATCTGGGAGGCAGAGGTTGCAGTGAGCCAAGATTGTGCCACTGCACTCCAGCCTGGGAGACAGAGTAAGGCTCTGCCTCAGGAAAAAAAAAAAAAAAAAGAAAATACAAAAATGAATGCAAAAAGGGATAAGTTATTTTCGTTTCTCTATTATACAATATAATCCCTTAGGAAGCCTGCATTTCATTTAAAACAAGTTACAATTTACTAAAACCTACATCAATATGTAGATGCATTATAAAATTTGAAATACAACTTCTTAAATCCTTTATTCAGGCATTGCCATCAACAAAATACCTAACACCCCCAATCCAAGGATGATGAAACTGCTACTGAAAAGAACACCACACATATACGCTGCCCTCGTATTTCAGTATTATGCTTGAAATCCCTTCAACAAACACACAGAAACCCCTTAGATTTCACAATCTGAAATTTGAATGAAATTAAGATTAGGAAAAAATAATAAACCTACTTGCATAAATAAAAATCACTGAATTTATTACTAATCTTACTAAAACACTGTTTCCAAGTCCCTAATTTTTCCTAAATTAAGGTAGCTCCAATGGAGTCTGACACATTTAAATGCTGTATTTATTATGTGACACACTATACTGAATTATGAAAAAAACCTGAAATTACTAAGGGCTCTGGATGTTAGCTAACTCAATTCTGCAAATAGTAATATGGTTAAATTTTAAAATGATAATTAAGCTATTCTTGATAACACACCCTGACATTATTAAAATATGGAGAAGGCAACTAATTTTTCTTCACATTTTACTCTTCCTAAATCTAGAAAACATATACTTGCTCTCAAAACATCTTATCAGGGCCGGGTATGGTGACTCACACCTATAATCCCAGCACTGTGGGAGGCCGCGGGTGGATCACCTGAGGTCAGGAGTTTGAGACCAGCCTGGCCAACACGGTGAAACCCCATCTCTACTAAAAATACAAAAATTAGCTGGGCATGGTGGTGGGTGCCTGTAATCCCCGCTACTCAGGAGGCTGAGGTGAGAGAATCACTTGAACCCAGGAGGAAGAGGTTACAATGAGCCAAGATTGCGCCATTGCACTATAGCCTGGGTGCCAAAAGCAAAACTCCATCTCAAAAAAAAAAAAAAGCTGGGCACGGTGGCTCACACCTGTAATCCCAGCCCTTGGGGAGGCCAAGGTGGGCGGATCATAAGGCCAAAGGTTTGAGAACAGCCTGGCCAACACAGTGAAACTCCATCTCTACTAAAAAAACAAAAACTAGCCAGGCATAGTGGCACACACCTGTAGTCCCAGCTACTTGAGAGGCTGAGGCAGGAGAATTATTTGAACCCAGGCAGCAGAGTTTACAGTGAGCCGAGACTGCACCATTGCACTCCAGCCTGGGCAACAGAGTGAGACTCCATTTCAAAAAAAAAAAAAAAAATCTTAGCAGAAGACCAAGAACCTGTAGTGAGATAGTTCAGTCCTTAGGTTAGTCTAAACAGGATTACAGAGCTGCTTTACTAAGAAATATTTGAGTATTTCACTTACCTCTGTTTCTGTACATTGTGAATATCCCAATTTACCTGTAATAAAAATGAAAAGCATTACTTTCAAAGGATTTCAGCTTTTTAAAATCATTGATAAAAATATAGAGAACTATGACTTTATTATGTCTATGAAAATATCTATGCAAAAAAAAGATGCTAGAATGACCAAATATCCCTGAAGGTCCTACTTAGAGATTTAAGTTTAAATAGGGCCACTAAAAGTTAACAAAGAAAAAGTGAGAAAAAAAAAATGCCCAATTGTAATAAGATCTAATATATATATACATATTTAACAGACATATATAACCCAATCAAATAAAAATGTTTAAAAGTCTTGCTTTCTTTTAAAAACACCTTAAAATACTTTAAAGGTATTTCAAACATACCTTAGGAAATCTTAAGACTCCTGGGCTTTTCTTCAAATATGTTTTCAGTTTAAAGAAACAGTGATCATCTCAGTGAAAGGAAAAATGTTTCAACTCATATTTTCTCTAATATATGATAGCTGTTTTCTTTAATATATGATGAGGCAAAACCATAATTAATCTAGTAATTTTTCCAACAGAGACTCACCTAAAGAATAACTAGAACTGAACAATATTTGGCTGCACCAATATTAATATTTTTCTCCATCACAGATACATAATACCAAAGAACATGAACAATTATATATTTCTGTCAATGTGGCTGACTAAAACATACTTTTTAAACAAAAACAGCTATTTTAAAGAATCACTTATTAAATAGTTTTAACAAAAAGAACGAGTAACATAATTATACTGGGTACCAGAAAAGTGGTTTTGAGATGGAGTCTCACTCTGTTGCCCAGTCTGGAGTGCAATGGTGCAATTTTGGCTCCCTGCAACCTCCCCAACCCAGGTTCAAGCAATTCTCCCACCTCAGCCTCCTGAATAGCTGGGACTACAGGCACGCACCACCATATCCTGCTAATTTTTGTATTTTTAATAGAGATAGGGTTTTGCCATGTTGGCCAGGCTGGTCTTGAATTCCTGACCTCAAGTGATCTGCCTGCCTTGGCCTCCCAAAGTGCTGGGATTACAGGAGTGAGCCACCATGCCCAGCCAGTACTAGAAAATTTAATTTCCCCAGACTACACTTAGATTTCACTGACCTAAATTCAAATAAACATTTAGCTCTATACCTTTCCCTCCACCCAATACTATCCTCCCACTTCTTCCTCTCCCCAGCATCTACCCTCACACCTAGCCCACAGTGGTTATTCTATCAGCCTTATTTTTTTTAATGCCTAACTAGAAGTTGTACACCTTAGAATCTATTATGACAATACAAAAGAAAAATCACAAATAATAGCTTTTGTATGCCTCCCAATTCTTAAAATAAAAAAATAAAGTTGAAAACTACAATTTCTTATTTGAAATGAGTTGGCTGAAAAAACAAAAAAAGAAAAAATAAAAGAAAACAACCACAACTCCTCATCTCTTAATGATTCTAATGAGAAACACTGGCTGAAATTGAGACCAGAAATAAGGGCCTTAGGTTCTATAAATTAAATTAAAAATTATATGTAAGCAATAAGGGCTATGTAAACATATATATATAATGAGCTTATAACCTAAGGGTTATATAATAGCATTTGATAAGTATATACTGTTATTTTACTTACATATTTATTTATTGTTATATAAAATTGTATATTCAATAATGATTGATAACATATATTTTATTTATTCATTTATTTATATGATTGTTTGCTCAGGCCATTAATGCTTTTGGTAGTTAAGTATACTTAACTCCCATAAAACTGACAATTAGTTTGACTCAGGAAAGTACTACTGGACAGAAACAGCTAAAGAAAGGTACAGACTGCCTTTCTGCAAACATTTACTGAGAGCCTACTCTGCATGGGGGGGAAGAGAGAGAAGGAGGAAGAAAGGAGCACTCAGGCAAACTGTAACAGAGAGTAGCCTCTTTAAGAGTACTTGAGTTTACATCTTCAGTAGGATATATTCTGAAGATAAAGAGAATTACAAAGAAATCTATAAATTTTTGCAGTAAGTTTCTTGTTGATAGTATTGTTGATGAAAATCCTGAAACTATTTTAATGTATTACAGCACTGAGCAAATGAGTAAGTACACTGATATTGCTGGGTGTCATGACTTAAACTGTGAGAGAAGGAATACCCAAATCTAATCTAAGAAGAAAAAGAGCCCTGTGATAGCGAATTGTAACTAGAGATATTACACAACTACAAAACATTTCCTAGCTCTGCCCATCACAAGCGGGAGAAGCCCATGGGGAACGCCAAGCCCATTCCCCCTCAACAGAATCAGGATTCCTTGGGAAACTGGCTGACTCCAGGGCTAGGACAGGAAGATTACAAGAGAAGCCTGGAACATCTTTTAGTACAAGAAAACAATGAAGTACTTAAAAAGAATTATAGAGGGGTGTCAAAAGGGCACAAGAGTCTATAAAATAAGATTTTTTTTTTTGGCCTCCATGCATTTGTTATTTGTCCTATTTTTTTATATAAATATTTAATAACCTGCATTATAAAACTGAAGATTCTGTAAAAGTACTAAAAATTTTTGTGAGAATGCAAGAGCTCTTGGTCATTCAATTTGAACTGGTAACTCACGGTAATATGAAAAGGCTGTCAGTACAAAGTATTTGACCACCTACACAGCTCTGCCATCCAAATTCCTGCCCAAAAGCTAACTAAGGAATCCAAAAATCCCAATCATATGACATCAGAGCTTAAAACAATCTTAGAAATGATCTTGCCCAATCCATTCATTTTATAGATGAGTAATCTGGCTAGGTGTGGTGTCTTGCGCCTGCAATCTCAATTTGGGAGGCTGAGGTGGGAGGACTGTTTGAGCTCAGGAGTTTGACCAGCCTGGGAACACAGTAAGATCCAGTTTCTATCAAAAATAAAAAATTAGCCAGGAATGATGGCACAAATTTATAGTCCCAGCTACTCAGGAAACTGAGGAAGAAGGATCACTTGAGCCCAGGAGGTCCAGGCTGCTAGTGAGCTGTGATAGTGCGACTGCACTCCAGACTGGGTGACAGAACGAGGGCTTGCCTCAGATACCATTAATTAAAAACAGATGAGTAATCTAAGAGCTCGAGGAGTCAAATGTCTCGCACATAATGACACAGAGTTGGCAACAGAAAAAAGACCACACTCTAAGGCTCCTGATTCCTCATGTGTGTTTGGTGTGGTTTTCTTATTCTAAGTCTCTTGATATACTTTGGTTCTATGTCCCCACCCATATCTGTGTTCAATTGTAATTCTCAATGTTGGAGGTGGGGCCTGGTGGGAAGTGATCGGATCATGGCAATGGTTTTAATGGTTTAGCACCATCCCCCTAGTGCTGTCCTGTGATAGTGAGTTCTTGTGAGATCTGGTTGTTTCAAAGTGTATAGCACTTCCTCCTGCTCCAGCCACGCAAGAGGTGCTAGCTTCCCCCTCACCTTTCCCCATGACTGTAAGTTTCCTGAGGCCTTCCCAGCAATGCTTCCTGTACACCCTGCATAACAGTGAGCCAATTAAACCTCTTTACTTTATAAATTACCCAGTCTCAGGTAGTTCTTTATAGCAATGTAAGAATGGACTAATACACCTCCTTTCCCACTTCCAGCAGCTATTGGGATTGAGGGGGACTGCAAGGTACTGTCCAAGCTAACTATCATTTCTACTGCTTCTGAAGAATGGGGAAATGTATTCCTCAATTTAATAGCACCTTCTTCAATTGGAAACTACCAGTATAGCATCAAGGGATTTTAAACTTAACAACTTTTGAGTCTTTCTTCATCTCTATTTTACTGCACCAGACCTAAGGAATGAATCCCTCTAAAACCCACAAAACCTATGACTCCACTCAGAATTTTTTTTGTTTTTTGTTTTTTGAGATGGAGTCTAGATTTGTTGTTCAGGCTAGAGTGCAAGGGCACAATCTCAGCTCACTGCAACCTCCACCTCCTGGGTTCAAGCTATTCTCCTGCCTAAGCCTCCCAAGTAGCTGGGATTACAGGCACCCACCACCACACCCAGCTAATTTTTGTATTTTTAGTAGAAATGGGGTTTCATCATGTTGGCCAGGCTGGTCTCGAACTCCTGACCTCAGTGATCTGTCTGCCTCGGCCTCCCAAAGTGCTGTGATTGCAGGCATGAGCCACCATGCCTGGCCGAATTTTAGTAACCTAAGATAACAGTAGCCTTACAAAGGCTTCAGATTATTAAATACAGTGAATTAGTTCTTTCAACCAAATAACAAGTCTATTAGGATGTGCTTAATTAGAAGGACAGAGTAACTGTGATGAAGTAAAATATCTGAAGTAGTATTTAAACATTAAGTTTTGAAAATACTTCCACATTATCAAAAAAGTACTTACAAGAAGAGAAATTATTTTTATAGGAAGCCAAAACATTAGCTCAGTATTTCTCAAAAGAAATAAGCATTTTAGTAATGCTGCAGGAATCAAGGCTATGTTTTAAAACCTTCTTTTAAACTCATTCTGAAAGATCTGATCTGCTTTTAAAGATTTACTAGGCCAAGCATGGGCCACACCTGTATTCCCAGCATTTTGGGAGACCAAGGTGGACAGATCACCTGAGCTCAGGAGTTCAAGACCAACACGGGCAGCATGATGAAATGCCATCTCTACAAAAAAAGAAAAAAAAAAATTATCCAGATGTGGTGGCACGTGCCAACTACTTGAAAGGCTGAAGTGGGAGAATGGCTTGAGTCCAGGAGGCAGGCAAAGAGCTGAGATGGCGCCATTGTACTCCAGCCTGGGAAACAGAGCCAGACACTATCTTAAAAAAAACAAAAGATTTATTAGATGAGTCCGCTTATTCTCAGGAAACAGAAAAGCCTATGCCTTCCTATAAATTGATACAGAATGGCTTTAAGAAACAAACTAGTCCTGGTATAAAATGTCTGTCATAAAGAATTCATAGCTAAGACAACACTGTCACCTTCAGCAGACATTCTAAATCTTAAATATTGATAATCAGATCATTTTGCAATAGGTCTACTCAGAGGGA